CTCTCTCTCTCTCTCTCTCTCTCTCTCTCTCTCTCTCTCTCTTTCATCACCATTATTTTTTTTAAATAAAGATAGGAAAAAATAAAAGATATGTATTAATCATCTAGTGACTATATTTGTACTTAATGTGGGAAAAAGAGAAGAAATTACAGCAAAATATCATAAATACACAGCATTTCAAGACCAGAAAAAAAGTAGTGATAGAAACATTAAGAGAAGGGGCGAAAGCCAAAGGAAAACCAGGTCCTGAAGTTTAAAGGAAGTTAACCCTTCCCACTCAAGGTTTTCACCCAGCAGAACCGACTACTGTAATTTAGCATTAATTTCTACCAAGCATTCTTCCATGTAATGCTGGAGAGAAATATATCACAGCAAGGCCTTCCCTTTAAGTGAATCAGATTATTACTTCCCTCCTATCTTAATAAATGTAGGCTTACCAGTAAATTCATATCTGAGACAGACTTCAAATTCGGGTTAATAACTGGTTTATTGAAGCTGCTGCAGGGAGATCAACAGAAATGGATTCCTCTGGAATGAGAAAAGTTGCTGTAGTCCTAGCAATCCTGCAATTCTGTAGGAGAAGGAGGCAGTGGCTTGGAAGGAAAAAATGTATTTAAATATTAAGAAATTTTTACTCATCATTTACCTGTCTTCTCTTTTTCTTTTCATAGGGAATGCCCACCACATCTGTACTCGTAGAGGAGGAACATGCAGACGACGGTGTCGTCGTGGTCACGAACAATCCCATGGGCAAGTGGACTGTAACTTGGGATTGCTGTGCTGCGTACGGTAAGAAAACTCTCCTCTAATAGGGATACTAAATTGAGATTATCCGCCTGATATTGTTTGCATTCACAAATCTTTGCAAAGCCCAACATTTACCTTAAACTCACTTTGATCAATCTATTATTTTCTCTCGTTTGTATAGCCGCAAAGGAAAATGATTCCGTCTCCATCTACCATCCTGGATGTCTTCAAGATTTGGCTAATGACCTGAGATTACTGCCTGCTATTGCTTTATCTTTCTTTACATGAATCAAACTGCTATCTATCAAACTCGAAAACATTTATGCATTGAAGTAAAATTTGGCAAATATTCCTTGAAATAAAGCTAAATGAGCATTGCAGACTTTGTGCAACTTCTTTAACAGGGACGTGGAGCAGTATATTCCTAAGAGAGAGAGGAGGAGGGAGAGTGGAGGGGAGGGTGGGAAAGGGGGAGAGGGAGGGAGGGAGGGAGGGAGGGAGGGAGAGAGACGCATCTCTTTGCATACAATTCAGTGTAAAAGGTGTTATCTGCTTTTCAACCACATATTATACTCTAATTTTACAGTCTCATTCTTCCCCTTCTGTTTACTTATTCTAATAGTTACCTTGCCATGGAGGTTTTCCAGCTGGTATGGTTGCTTGTCCAGAAGTAGCATACAATCAAATATAAGCTATTAGCTAAGACCTTGGAAAGGAGCAAAAATAAAAAAAATTGCTTTAGTTTATATTTTTCTCAAGTTAAACAGCATAAGAATGCTGTTTACTTAGCATTCTTACTTAGCATAAGAATGACTTTGTCCAATGACTCAATATCATCCACTGAGAATTGATAAAAGAAATGAAGAAGTAGCAAACGGAAATCTGCATGAGAGAAAGGATCTTTTCCTGGACCATTCTTTTTTGTTAAATAAGCAGAGCAACAGGTGTTATAAAATTTATTTTAGTTACCAAGATAAATAAAATAGACAGACTACAAAATACAATCAATTGATCTGAGGGTGAGTCAGATAGGACCTGATGCAGACAAACACACAGCCACAAGTGAGGGATAGTATTGTGGACACTGATCCTAATAAAGGGGGGTGATCTAACAATATACACAGGTGAAAATATAAACATGTCAGTTTGTCCCTGAGATAACTTCATTTCCCTTTCTGTGCACACTAATTACACAAGATCATTTCTCAGTCATCATCACAGATATTGTGCAACTTCTTTAACAGGGACCTGTGGCATTATATTCCTATGTGCGCAGGAGGGAGGGAGAGGGGGAGGGGGAGGGGAGAGATTCCCCCCCCCAATTTTTTGTTGCTATATAATTGCTATATGTTGCTATATAAAGAGCAACAGTTTCAATATCTATATAAACTGTGTGTTGTCTGGTTGATTTTATTTATTTATTTATTCATTCATTTATTCATTCTTACTATGATGATGTTATCATCATCATAGTAATAATGTTCTTTAGTACTGGTCATATAATAAAAGTGTTTTCTTAACATAATATTAATACTTATTAATTATTAATACTAATTTGTATTATAATAAACATATCATAAAAAGTTTGCATAGTGAAATTAATCCTTCTCTGATAGTTTTAAATATTCTGACTCAGTGACGTGTGGCGAGGTTTATGGCTGGTGAGGCACTGATGTCATCATAATCTTTTTATTAAAATGCCTTTGTAATACAGGGGTTTTTAATAAAAGGATTCATGCTGTTTGCATGTTTCGAAGGGGTGGCGGGCAAGAGCGTATTGCCGAGGACCATATGCGTTGACCACCAGTGGCCAACACAAAAAAAAGAGATTTGGGCGGGGAGGAGCAAGGAGCCGAGGAGTTCCTTGTTGTGTTTTCCACAAGGGAGGACAGTCCCTCCAAGGGGCAGGAGGAGGGAGAGAGAGAGAGATGATGATGATGATGATGACAACAATTAAGTATCAAAAGCCTTTTGAGTTTGACAATATAATACGTTATCCAAAATTATAAATAAT